TGCTGCTGCTGCTGCTGCTGCTGCTGCTGCTGCTGCTGCTGCTGCTGCTGCTGCTGCTGCTGCTGCTGCTGCTGCTGCTCCTACTGCTGCTGCGCTGCTGTTGCGCTGCTGCTGCTGCTAAGCAACAGCAGTGGGGCTTTCGTTGGCCACAAACACTGCTGCACACCCCCCCGGTGTTCGTAAACCCTCATGTCTAAACCCTAAACCCTAAACCCTTTAGCCAGAAACCGAAGAGCTAAAATCTGAACGCACAAGTGCAAACCCTAAAGCAGAAACCTCAAACCCTAAACCCTAAGATTGAAACCCTAAAATGAAGGGCCTTAAAAGCAGCAGATGAATATAAACAATTCATTTAAATCCCCTTCTTGTAAACCCTCAGGTTTAAACCTAAACCCTAAATGCAAACCCTCTACCTTTTGCAGAGAAAAGGGTTGAGGGTTTGCACCTAGGGCCTACGGTTTATAGTTGCGTTAAGGGTTCACAATTAGGGTTTAGGGTTTACAATTAGGGTTTAGGGTTTACAACTAGGGTTTAGGGTTTGCACTTAGGGTTGAGGAACAAAGGCGCTGCTGCGCTTTTGCAGCAACTCACGGCAACAGCAGCAGCTGTGCACGCCCTACGTTAGGGTTTAGGGTTTAGGGTTTAGGGTTTAGGGTTTGCGGCGAGGGGAAGCCGCCGTCCCAGGTGGCTGCCCTAGAAGGAATAAGAACACAAGAAGAGCCCTGTTCGCAAGAACGCACAGCAACAAATCTACTTCTCTAGGGTTTAGGGTTTAGCGGTTAGGGTTTAGGGTTTAGGAACCTGAGTTCATTTTCTCGAGCTGCAGGGCTATCAGCGCCCTGGTGTAACGCGCCGACAATGAATTAAATGCACATTTATATTTAATTTAAATTTAAATTTAAATTCAAATTCAAATTTTGATTTTAATTTAAGTTTTAATTCGGATTTAGATCGAGATCTAGATCACTTCTGGATGATTGCGCTGGTGTCTGTACACCTGAAGACTCCACTGTGGATCTAATTCAGATTAATTTTGAATTAAATCCTTTATTTGAGCTCTACACTTTAATATTCATAAAATATTTTAAAATTGTGTTTTATTAAATCCTTTATTTGCGAAAAAAATTAAAAAATCAAGCGCCAATGAATTCCGGAGCTTCAGGTGTACGTACACCGCGTCGGCAACTCCCGGCCACCGCCGCTCCGGTGTTTGTGCAGATTTATAAATTCATTTAATTTTAAATTTAAATGAATTAAATTCAAAATTAATCATTTTGTGCTTTTCATTCTGCTTTGAAGGCCAAAAAAGCCGCCAAAAATGCCAAAAGCCTTCATGCATGCAAGCCTATACAGAAACACAAGTATTCAATATATCCTAGATGTAAATGCAAACATATATGTTATTAGATTTATATATATATTATTTATATATTATATATATAATATATATATATATATTATATATATATAAATATATATATATTATTTATATAAATATATAAATAATATATATATTTACATATATATAACATACATATAATATATACATAATATATATATATATTATATTTATATATATTATATATATAATATATATAATATATATATATATTATATATATAATATATTATTTATATATTATATATATAATATATATATATATATTATATATATATGATATATATATAAATCTAATAACATATATGTTTGCATTTACATCTAGGATATATTGAATACTTGTGTTTGCATGTAATATAATATGTAGCATGTAATATGTGTATATGTATATATATACCTATTCACTATGTAAATATGCATATATTATACACACATACACACACATATATATATATATATATATATATATATATATATTACATATTACATATTACATATTTATATATGAGTATATAATATGACCTTTTTCATGTATAATATATAATATATATATACTTATATATATGTTGTCTAGTACATATAAATATATAAAGTACATAGGCTTACATCTACAATATATATATATAATTCCTTTTATTATGTAAATATAAATATATATGCATATGCACTTTATAGGTATATATATAAAATATATACACATATATATTTATGATATGTATCGAATATATACCTCGTTATAATGTAGTTATTCTAATATATATTTATATATATCTAAATTACCTTTACAAGTATAAATATAATATATATATATAAATATAAATGTATATATGTGTATATATATTTATATATATATATTGTATTACCATACTATTGTACAATGATATTATATCTATATATAGATATATATGTGATATGTATGTACGTAAAGACATTTATAATTAGATGTATATTTGCATCTACAAAGTCAACCTAAACTATATACATTTGCATGCATGCGCCCATATATAGAACTGTGAAGAGGTAATTAAATATATATATAAATATATATATATATATATATAAATGTATATATATTGTATATATATCTATATATCTATATATAAATATATATATTATATATATATACCTATATATATATATATAAATATATATATGTATATATATATATATGTATATATATATATATATATATATATATGTATATCTATATATATATACATGCATGCATGCACCTGATGTGTCCACCTGAAACCGCCCAAGAAAAGTACATTTAAAGCTGCAAAGAAATTAAAAAGTCTATAAAAAACTGGCTAATACTGCTCTAAAAAGTGTTTAATATTTATATATTTATTCACTGCCTGCATGCATGCATGCATGCATGCACGCATGCATGCATGCATGCATGCAGGGTGTACATACACCTGAATCGGGTGTACGTACACTGCAGGGAGGGGCGGGGCCTCGAAACCGGTTTTTCGGGTTTTTGCGAGAAAAGATTAATTGTGTTTATTAATTGCTTTTGATTTGAATTAATTTTAATTAAAAAGCTAAACTGCTTTTGTTATGAACTCCAGATGGTTATTTTATCCTACTAAGACGGGCAGCAGCAGCAGCAGCAGCAGCAGCGCAGCAAGCCGCTTTTGCTGCAGCCCTCTGTCAGCAGCAGGGGCTCAAGATAAAAAAAGTGGACCAGCAGCAGCAGCAGCAGCAGCAGCAGCAGCAGCAGCAGCAGCAACTCGCACCGCCCCCACCGTCTTCTCCAGTATCCACCGCAAAGGCGTGTCGGCTGCGCTGCTGCAGCTCCCTCTTCTAAGCAGCAGCTGCTGCTGCTGCAGCTGCTGTTGCTGCTGCAGCTGCTGCTGCTGCGGCAGCTGCTGCTGCTGCTGCTGCTGCTGCAGCTGCTGCTGCTGCTGGCGCAGCCGCGCCCTTGCTGTTACCTGCCTCCGCGTCCTGACTCGCCTCAGCAAACCAAAGTTCCCAAATCAAAATTGGGGTTTAGGGTTTACGTGCTGCAGCAAGAAGGGTTTAGGGTTTAGGGTTTGTGCGCCTCACCCTCGCAGAGAAGCTGCAGGGGCTGTGCTGGGAAGGCGTTTGACGCTTTGTGCTGCGGCTGCTGCTGCTGCAGTTGCTGCTGCTGCTGCTGCTGCTGGTCCCGTATGCGTGCCCTGTACCCCGAGCACCGTTTGCTGCTGCTGCTGCTGCTGCTCCCGCTGCTGCTGCTGCTGCTGCTGCGTTAGCTGCGCTGCAGCCACAGCTGCTGCTGACGAGGGCTTTCGCAGCAACGAAGCAAAATGCAGCCGGTTGGACACGTCCAGCAGCAAAGCTCTTTCCTCCTGCAGCGAATGCATGCAATTTGCTGTTGCTGCTGCTGCTGCTGCAGTTGCTGCTGCTGCTGCTGCAGTTGCTGCTGCTGCTGCTGCTGCTGCTGCTGCTGCTCAATAAACAAATTTCACAAGCGCCGGCAGAACCAGCGCAGCAGCGACAGTGGCGCCAGCAGCAGCAGCAGTGAGTGCTGCTGCAGCAGCAGCAGAATAAGCATCAGCAGCTAAATCAGCAACAGCAGCAGCCGCAGCAGCAGCAGCTGCTGCAGCTCACCTGCAAGTCTTCAATGGCGGCCCTTAGGGCATTTACCTCCTCTCGCAAGGCCTGAATAGTACAACAGCTATGCAGCAGAAGCTGCTGCTGCTGCTGCTGCTGTTGCCACGCAGCAGCAGCAGCAGCAACCCGCAACAGCTCGATGCTGCAGCATCTTGATCTGCTGCTGCTGCCTGCCCTGAACCCTTAGCAGTCTATGCTGCTGAGGCTTTGCCTTCACACCCTTTTAGGGTTTAGGGTTTAGGGTTTTAGTTAAGGGTTTGGTCTAGCAAGACTGCTCCTACTTCGGCCTGTTTTTCTGCTTTCTGCAGTGCCTGCTGCTGCTGGTGCTCCTGTTGCTGCTGCTGCTGCTGCTGCTGCTGCAGCTGCTGCAGCTGCTGCTGCAGCGCGACTAAAGACTCCGTCTTTCGCTGCAGCTGCAGTTGGTGCTGCTGCTGCATCGCCTCTGCGTGCTGCCTCATGGTGCTAAACGCCCTTCGGTACCTGTCAAGTTCAGCTGTCTGTGCTTCTATCTGCTGCTGCTGCTGCTGCTGCAGCTGCTGCTGCTGCTGCTGCTGCTGCAGCTGCTGCTGCTGCTGCTGCTGCTGCTGCTGCTGCTGCTGTTGTTGTTGTTGCCTTCGGCCCGGTTTGCGGCGAGCGCGGCGCCGACTGCCAAGTTCTGGGCTGCTGCTTCTGCTTTCGCTGCTGCTGTTGCTGCTGCTTTTGCTGCTGCTGCGGTGGAACTGCAGCGAGCAGCTGCGCCTGGTGCCTGCTGCAGCATCTGCTGCTGCTGCAGCAGCAGCAGCAGCAGATTCACTTCTGCTGCCTTTGCTGCTGGTGCGGCTCCAGGTCGTCTCCCAAGCGCTCCTCGTTGCTTCTGGCGTTCGGGCTGCGGATCCCTGCTGCTGCTGCTGCTGCTGCTGCTGCTGCAGCAGCAGCTGCGACTCCGCTCGCTTCAGCCGGTCATCTGCCTGTACAATTTCCCTTTCCTGCAGCAGCAGCAAACAGCAAGTTTGGAGCCAAGAAGCAGCAAACACTGCATCACAGGGGGGTTGCGTGCTACATGCGCCTGCTGCTGCTGCTGCTGCTGCTGCTGCTCTGCTGCTGCTGCTGCTGCTGCTGCGCCACATTCCCACCTTGCTCGAAAGCTGTCTTGAAAGGGCCTCCAGCTGCTGATGCATGTCTTGCTGCAGCCGCAGCAACGCCTGCAGCCCCACAGCGTACGCGCAGCAAACACATGAGGCAGCAGCAGCAGCAGCAGCAGCAGCAGCAGCAACTGCAGCAGCCTCCTTGGCGCAGCAGCAGCTGCGGTCGTACCTGTTCGTGCTCTGCTTGCTGCGCAGCAAGGTGCGATGCATGCAGCGTTTGCTGCTGCTGTAGCTGCTCTGCTTGGTGCAGCAGCAGCTGCTGCTGCTGCTGCAGCTGCTGCTGCTGGTCTTCGCGTTGCTGCAGCAAATGCCGCAGCCGCTGTTCAACAGCTTTAGCCAGCAGGACAATATTCTGCTGCTGCTGCTGCTGCTGCTGCTGCTGCTGCTCACTGCCTTCATCGAGCTGTCGCAACAGCAGCAATACCACACTAGTGGCTTCCCGAAGCTGTTGCTGCAGCTCTTGTTGCTCTCTTTGCTGCTGCTGCTGCTGCTGCTGCTGCTGCTGTGCAGAGGGTGGCATCGCTGCTGCTTCTGCGCTGCCTTGCTGCTGACCGCTTGCAGAGGCAGCAGCTGCTGCTGCAATGCGAGATGCTCCCGGGCCTCCGCTTAGTGCCTTGCTGCTGCTGCTGCTGCTGCTGCTGCTGCGGCTGCGGCTGCTGCAGCTGCTGCCGCTGCTGTTGCTGCTGCTGCTCCCGCTTGTCGCGTGCAGCCGGTCCGGCAGCAGCTGCTGCTCTAGCTGCTGAATGAGGACCTGCTGCTGCAGCAGCAAAACTTGCTGGTGCTGCACTGTCTCCTGTCTGCTGCTGAGGGCTGCTTCTGCGTGCATGCGTGCTGCAGTCTCCTCGTGCAGCAGCTGCTGCTGCTTTCGCAGCTGCTGCTGCTGCTGCTGCATTTCCTCTTGCAGTCGCTCGCACTCCCCGCACATCTTGTTTGTCTTCTCTGGTGCTGCTGCTGCTGTTTCTGCTGCTGCTGTTTCTGCTGCTGCTGCTGCTGCTGCTGTCAGCGACTTCGTTGCCCCGTCGTTCAGAGCCGCAAGCTGCTGCTGCAGCAGCTGCTGCTGCTGCCGTGCTGCAGCAGCTGCTGCAGCTTCCCGTTCAACCTCTGCAGCACACCTTTTCTGTATGCTTTCTAGCACGTGCTGGTGGTGCTGCTGCTGCTGCTCCGCTGCTGCTGCTGCTGCTGCTGTTGCTTCCTGCAGCTGCAGCAGGGCCTTCCGCTTCAGCGAAGCCTCGCGCTCGCAGGCCTGCTTCAGCTTCTCCTGCTGCAGCTGCTGCTGCTCCAGTTCTTGCTGCAGCTCCTGTGTCTGCTGCTGGTGCTGCTGCTGTTGCTGCAGCAGCTGCTGCTCCAAGCTGGCATTCTGCTGCTGCAGCTGCGAGTTGCTGCGCCGCAGCTCCTCCGCCTCGCTAGCTTGCTGCTGCAGCTGCTGCTGCACCTCCTTGAGAGCTGCTTCCAGCTGCTGCTGCTGCTGCAGCTTTTGCCGCGCTCCATTGAGCGCTGCTTCCAGCTGTTGCTGCTGCTGCTGCTGCTCTGCTGCTGCTTCTGCAAACAGCCGGTAGTTCGCTTCGAAGTCCTGCTGCAGTGCAGCATAGGCGCGCTGCAGCCGCTGCTGCTGCAGCGCGAACTTACAGTGTTGCTGCTGCTTCAGGGCCTCTGCCTGCTGCTGCTGCTGCTGAAGCCTCAGCTCGCATTGCTGCTGCTGCTGCTGCAGCAGCAGCAGCAACTCCTGGTGCTCTGCAGCACCCCAAGACAGCAGGGTGGAAAGTTCATGGGCGCGCTGCTGCAGAGTCTCTAGAAGGCTGGCGTTCATGGGTCCAGCAGCAGCAGCAGCTGCTGCTGCTGCTGCTGCTGCTGCTGTGCGGCAGACGTCTGGGGGGGCCTCAGCAGCTGCTGCACTGTCTGTCCAGTGCATGTGTCTTGGATGCATGTGGCATTGCCGCTGCTGCCGCTGCTGCTGCTGCTGCTGCTGCTGCTGCTGCTGCTGCTGTTGCTCTTGCTGCTGCTCCTGGAGCGTCTCACCGTGGGCGAAGCCGGAAGTGCCGCAGCAGCAGCAGCTGCTGCTGCTGCTGCACCAAGCGCTGCTGCTGCTGCCATGCTGCGGCGCGGCGTGGGTCTCCGACCTTCTGCGATGGCACGACGAACCTTGCTGCTGCATTGACTGTCGCGGCTGCATTTGCTGCTGCTGCTGCTGCTGCTGCTGCTGCTGCTGCTGCTGCTGCTGCTGCTGTTGCTGCTGCTGCTGCTGCAGTGAGGCCAACAACAGTCTTTGGACTTTAGGGGCAGTTGCCTTCTTCACCGACCCGCACACAACCCCAAATCCCAAGTCCTAAACCCTAAACCCTAAACCCTAAACCCTAGCTCCGAAACCCTAAACCCCAAGCCCCAGATGCTGATTCAGTGCGACAGCTGTTTGCTGCCAATTTGTCCTGGGGTCTTGCTGCAGGCATTTGCTATCCCTGGCCTTCAGCCGCATAGTGTGGCCGCAGCAGCAGGCGCTGCCACAGCTGGTGCTGCTGCTGCTGCTGCTGCTGCTGCTGCTGCTGCGCCTAAGAGATGGAGGGCCGGCTCACTGCAGCACAGAATGAAACTCTAGCGCAGTTTAGTGCCAACCGGAAAAGCTGCGAAATGCGCCCCATCTACTCGCGGAAGCCCCCTTGGGTCACTTGCTGCAGCAGCTGCAGCTGCTGCAGCTGCTGCTGCTGCTGCTGCTGCTGCGTCTGATGCTGCTGCTGGGGGACAGCCACAGCGCCGCTGAAACAATTACATTTTGCATACTTTGTCGCTTTCGCCTTTTCTACAGCAGTGACCTGCAGAAGACAAGCTGCTGCTGCTGCTGCTGCCCAGTGGCCCTTGGCTGCAGCAGCAGCAGCAGCAGCAGCAGCAAGGAAGGCTTCCGCATATTGCATGCGCTGAAGGGATCCTCTGCAGCAATTTGTTTGTTCATTTCATGACTAACACCTTTTGTGGCTTATTAAGGCTAATTTGTGCTCATCTCTTTAGGGCTGCGGTGGGTGTTGCTGCAGCAGCAGCAGCAGCAGCAGCCGTCGCCGCTGCTGCAGCAGCAGCAGCAGACAGCAAGCCGTACAGCTTCACTGCAGCACTGGCCCTCGGCTCCTGTTTTGCTACTTATTTGAGCAGCAGCTCGTCTCCGCAGCAGCAGCAGCAGCGGCGGCTGCAGCAGCGACAACTCCAGGACCAGTAAGTGTGGCAGCAGCACAAGCAGCAGCAGCAGCTCTTGCTGCTGCTGCTGCTGCTGCAACGAGCTGTTGAAGGCCTTTTCCCAGATGCTGCAGTCGTTAGCCGCAGCGCCCATCTGGGTACCCCACAGCCGTGGCCAAACTAGCAAATTCCGCAGCAGCAGCAGCAGCAGCAGCAGCAGCCGCAGCAGCAGCAGCAACAGCAGCAGCAGCAAAAAGGCAGGGGAGCCACTTGCTGCAACTCTGAAGGCAAATGCATCTTCTTCCACAGGACACCGCGGCCGTTGAGGGCGCAGGTAGGGGTTCTTTTGCTGCTGCTGCTGCTGCCGCTGCTGCTGCTGCTGCTGCTGCTGCTGCTGGGTTTTGCTGCTTCTGCTGCTGCTTGTGGCTGCTGCTGCTGCAGCAAGGGTTTTGCTGCTGCGCGTCGATTATGTGTGAAGGTGATCCATACAAGAAACGCATGAGAACGGGCAAAGGATGGTAAGACCCCAAACCCTAAACCCTAAACCCTAAACCCTAAACCCTAAACCCTAAACCCTTTCTTAGAGAATAATGAACCCTGATAACCCCTAGTAAACCCTCCAAAAACCCTAATGAACACTCCAAACCCTTTGTAAACCCTAGCAGACCCCGACATACTCTTTTATTTCTTGCTGGACCCTAAACCCTAAACCCTAATAGATGCAGCAAACCCGAACTCACCCCAGGAAACCCTAGTAAACCCTAGTAAACCCTAGTAAACCCTAATAAACCCTAGTAAACCCTAGCATGTCCTAGTAAACCCTAGTAAACCCTAGCATGTCCTAGTAAACCCTCTTAAACGCTAGACCCGAGGCCACCGTCGTAAACCCTATACCCTAAACCCTAAACCCTAAATTGTGGTTTCGGAGTGCAGTCCGCAGCGCAAAGCCGAAGGACTCCCCTATAAACGATCTACGAAATAATTTCAAATTAATTGTTTTTATTTTGTTGGTTTTAATTTTGTTATTTTTATTTATAAATGCATTTTAAATATTTAAATTTCTTTTTTTAATTTTTATATTTTCATCTTTGCTTCCATTTGCACATTACGTCGCTTTCGAGACTCCCCTCCTCGGCTCGCGCCTTTAGGGTTTAGGGTTTAGGGTTTAGGGTTTAGGGTTTAGGGTGTAGGGTTTAGTGTCCATGGCACAATGTTTAGTGCTTGCCCTGTAGTGTTTCCTGTTCAGCATTTAATGTTTAGGGTTTAGGGTTTAGGGTTTAGGGTTTGGGGTTTAGGGTTTAGGGTTTAGGGTTTAGGGTTTGTTTTGTGTAGGAAGGGTTTGTGCGTGGCGGCGGGTGGCGGTGCTGCTGCTTCCCGCGCGAAGCCAGCTCCTCGGAAGAGCTGCGGCGCCGCAGCGGGCGAAGACAGCAGCAGCAGCAGCAGCAGCAGCAGCAGCAGCAGCAAGGGTTTGCTGCAGCAGCTGACGCAGCTGCCGCTGACTGCGGACGCGCTGCACCTGCAGCAGCGGGGGCTGCGCGACTACCGGCTGCTGCAGCTGAAGAGCAGCAGCGAAGAAAGACCTCTTTGGGTTTGCTGCGATGGTTTTATTCTTTTGGAGCTTTTCCGCAGCAGCAGCAAACAAGCCAACGACTTTCTCGTCACTGTTGCGGAGCCTCTCTGCAGAAGCGACCTCATGCACGAGTTCCAGGTCCCTGCTGCTGCTGCTGCTGCTGCTGCTGCTGCGGAGGCTGCTGCTGCTGCGGAGGCTGCTGCGGAGGCTGCTGCGGAGGCTGCTGCGGAGGCTGCTGCGGAGGCTGCTGCTGCGGAGGCTGCTGCTGCGGAGGCTGCTGCTGCGGAGGCTGCTGCTGCTGCTGCTGCTGCTGCTGCGGAGGTTGCTGCTGCGGAGGAGGCTGCTGCGGAGGCTGCTGCTGCTGCTGCTGCTGCTGCTGCTGCTGCTGCTGCTGCGGAGGCTGCTGCGGAGGCTGCTGCGGAGGTTGCTGCGGCGGAGGGGGAGGCGGGGGAGG